GGGTGGGTGGCCAGACACAGGTAGGACAGGTGGAAGAGCAGAGCCGTCTTCTCTGCGGCCGGGACCATGTCCCGGAACATATCCATGTCGTTCATCAGCTGCTGATCCGCAGGCACTAGGTCTGAGAGACATTCAACAAAAAAAAACAGGCTTTTTAAATATTTTCTTCACCCCCACGTCCCCCATGTCAAAACCTTTCCAACCCAGAGCGTCCAACATGAAGACCTTGAGCCCCTGAGCCCGTGTGAATCTTCCTGAGCGTCTGCCCTGAGCAAACACCTTCAATAACTGAAATCAAGACAGTTCACTGTGGCTCAGCTCGTGAATCCTAAAGCCTCCCCACACCTCCGCAAGACAGCAAGGGGTCAAAAAGCACAGCTGCAGGCGGAGCATCACAATATCCGATTGGGGTTGGCGGCTCAGACCACGCTTACCGCGACACTGAGACATCCTGAAGCAGGTTGGAGGGCGGACTTCGGCACTGAAACGTCTCTCCTGCAAAGAGAAAGAGGCTGTTTTGTTTTGTTGGTTTTTTTTAAGGCAAAAATCACGAATATAAAGTTGTTTCCCTCTAACCCCCCCGCCGTTCCTCTGCCAGAACACCAGCTCGTCGCCCGGTTGGGTTCGAGATGAACCGCAACTCAAGCTGAGAGACCGACACGCTGCTTGGGACACCCTACTGGGGAGGTACCCAGTGGAGAAAGCACGCGCCGATTTCAAGTCTACACAAGTCTCGGCTGCATTGTCTAGGAGACTCACAGCTCACTGGAATGCTGTGCAAAGCGTCGTAAACTGACCCCTCTTAACCATTGATCAGTTTCTGTGACCGGGGGTGGGGTGGGGCGGACAGCACAGACACCCCTCCCCCCCAAATCGAAAGCACGTGGCGAAGGCAGCAGACGGGATCGCAGAGCCTAAACGGGTTCCGGTCAAATTCATAATTCATAAGGTGGCATGAAAGCTGCAGTAGGTCCAAAATTCAGCAGCCAGAATCCTGACCAGGTCTAGTACAGGTGTTCACATTACTCCTGTCCTGGAGTCCCTGCACTGGCTTCCGGTCAAATTCCGGGTGGACTTTTAAAACCCTCCTGCTCACCTATAGGGCTCTGCGTGGCTGGGCGCCTCAGTACCTGTCTGAGCTATCGTCGTCCTACCCCCCACCTCGCAACCTTCGCTCTTCAAATTCTGCTCTCCTTACTGTACCCCCAAGCCCATCTACACTCTAGGGGTGACAGGACCTTCTCCTGTTGTGCCCCCCCAAGCTCTGGAACTCTCCGCCCAAGGATATCAGAGAGACACCTTCTCTAAACTCCTGCCAATCCAGACTCCAAACCCTCTTCTTCAGAAGAGCCTCTCCTGAACTGGTTCTGTCCTTCACCCCTCTGCTTCTCCTAGTGCCACCACCCCCGGTCTCCTCTGTGTGCTGTCATTGTGTCTTATCTGGTGTATTCTTCTTATTTATTGTTATTTATATTATAACTGAGAACAGTCCCTCTGTCTCAGCTACACTCTCTCCGACTCTCGCTCGGCAAAATCAGCAAAACCTGTTGTTGTTTTGAGAGGGCGTCATGGAGCTGCCTCTGTAGAGATGTTTTTCTTTTTTGTTGAACAACGAAAGGATCTACAAATACCACACAAAATAAAGGTCTATTGCTTTCATCTTTCGGTTGTTTTTATATACTGAACTATATACATCCTGTAAAGCACTTTGAGAGGCCACCTTTAAAGGCGCTATGTAAAATACGGCTGATTATTATTATTCTAAACAGATAAACGGAGCAGGTTAATAAAATAAAGCGTTAAGACTCACGTCTGTACGATGCTCTCTTGGCTGTTCCTGTGAGGACTGCGACAGGGTGCCCTTCCCCGAGCCTGTCTTATAGCGCTGCGAACAGGTAAGAAACACCATATAAGGAGCGCAGGGCTGCAGAAACCCGCCCCCCTCCTCAGACTGCTCCAGGGCTGGGGTGGGGGCGTCTGAAATTCCGAGAGGGGGGAGGTGAAGTGGAGCCGCCGTGACTGACCCAGAGGAATTTCCCAACCTGGGCCCCCTGACCGATCGCGATCGAAGAGGCCGACTGAGCAGGGCCGCCTGGCCCTGAGCGACCGAGCGGGGTTTCACTCCAGCGCCCTCGCGATTATTGTTAGAATAATATTACTTGATTATTGTTATTATAATCTGCAG